CAAGTGGCTGAGCTTGAAGTTTGGCAATCCAGGGTGGAAAAGCAAAGCACGTTTTGCTGGGTTACGACGCACCAAAAATGAAGGACGTGCGAGAGGGGAAGGTTGGGAGCGGCTGAACCTGAATTTGAGATGGGGAATTGTACGCCACGCCATATGGACTTTCTTTGGAGCATCCCAAAGCATCATTACTTGCCTCCCTAGCCTCTACCCGCTTGGCACATTATCAGCAACAGGCTTTTCCTCTTTCAGATGCCACTCAGAAATCTGAGGCCGGGCATGAGATCCAGGTCGCCATCTTTTGGGCATCAGTAAAAGCTGTTCAACAGCAGGAGAGAACCGTCTTGAGAGGTGGCAGCTAGATCAGTGTTTCTCAAGCTCAGCCACTTGAAGAGGGGTGGACTCCAACTCCCAGAATCCCCCAGCTAGCACATGCTGGCTGGGGGATTCTGGCATCTAGTTCAGTGTTTCTCAAGCTCAGCCACTTGAAGAGGGGTGGACTTCCCCAGAATCCCCCAGCCAGCATGTGCTAGCTGGGGGATTCTGGGAGTTGAAGTCCACCCCTCTTCAAGTGGCTGAGCTTGAGAAACACTGATCTAGCATCTAGTTCAGTGTTTCTCAAGCTCAGCCACTTGAAGAGGGGTGGACTTCCCCAGAATCCCCCAGCCAGCATGTGCTAGCTGGGGGATTCTGGGAGTTGAAGTCCACCCCTCTTCAAGTGGCTGAGCTTGAGAAACACTGATCTAGCATCTAGTTCAGTGTTTCTCAAGCTCAGCCACTTGAAGAGGGGTGGACTTCGCTAGATCAGTGTTTCTCAAGCTCAGCCACTTGAAGAGGGGTGGACTTCAACTCCCAGAATCCCCCAGCTAGCACATGCTGGCTGGGGGATTCTGGGAGTTGAAGTCCACCCCTCTTCAAGTGGCTGAGCTTGAGAAACACTGAACTAGATGCCCTCTGAGATCCTTCCTCTCCACGGTTCTGTGCATGCTTGCAGGGGTAAAGCTGTGCCCCCTTTCTGCTTCTGTCCGAATGAAGAAAGCAGCGTCGTAGCGCATCGCCGTGAGGTCTGCTTCTTTGGGTTGATGCCACGGCACACACAGAGAAGCAGGGGAGGCTTATACCGTGATCCCACACTGCTGGTTGCGTCGCTCTGATACACACACACACACACACATACTGCAGAAGCTCCAGCACCCAGGCCTGGGGCAGCTGGATAGACGCTTTGCAGACAACTCGCTACCTTTTGCTGCTCCGTTGCTCAGTGCCTAGCGATTCTTTGTACCCGGACCGACGGCATTTCGGCAGGGTCTCCGTGGCTCCCGTTGGGGTGATCCGTTGGGGTGACCCGCCAGTTTCTTGCTTTGTCGCCTTCAGGTTCTTCCAGCCTTGCAGACTTCTGCATGCCTAAAATATTATTTGGAATATTTTCGCTCTCGCGGTCATGTTTTTTTCCCATGTTTCCATTGGTTTTGTCGTATGTTTTAATTGTAGGCTTTATTGTACGCCACCCAGAGTCACCTTGCTTGAGATGGGTGGCCCTATAAATTTGACGAAGAAAGAAACGAATAAGCTTTGTTAGGGCTTCCAAATAGCTGGGTTGAAAACCAGATTTTATAATGCTTATCCTACGAAACCTTAACAGCGATGTTGTTATAGCTATGTTGTGTATTCTTTTTCTTGTGTTTTGCAGAGTGAAGACTATGACTCGTCCAGTCATAGTTATAAAATGGGTTAAAGCTATAAAAATCAGCTGGGCCTGATCAACTGCGGGAAGGCAGGACATGTTCTTGGTCCCCAACATTCGTGGACTGGTCCCCATGTGGATAGGCACGAGGCCCTGTGGCTGGCTGGTGCCCGGAGATCAGGACGATGGGCACCATTCTGCTCCTTCTCTGTTTGTGAATGTGTGTGAACGATGAACGTCTGAATAGGACCGCCGAGATGGTCAGGATCCAATTTAGCTGGGAGAGTTAAAGCTTCAGCATCTGCATTTCACTTGGGTTATTTGATGGATGGACTGATTGATTGTGGCAATCGGCCCGGGTGGGCACTTCGGTCTGCCCACCAAATTTAATACCTGATGGGCAGTTTAATGCCAGTTTAATACCTGGTGTGAACACAGGGCATGAGAAAGGCTGGGGCTGGCTTCTGCCAACACACTTAATTTGATTCCTGAATGACCCCGTTTTCTGGATTCACATGTTATCGTGATCTCTAAACCCATGGGGCTGGGTTCGTCCAACCGTTAACGCTGACCCATGAGGAGCATGCTTGTGGACACAGTTGTGCAAGGTCTCGACCTGATTTGGTTAAGGGAGTTGTGTGAACGCAACCAGTGGGAACCAGTGAACTGCCTGGGGGTGATTTGGGGGCTATAATCATATCAACCATAGAACAGACACACACCTCCTTATTCTGTTCCTGTATGGAGTACAGTTTTATGCAAAAATGCTAGGCTGTGGAAATCAACCTCAAACTTTAGCTCAGTGTTTCTCAACCTCAGCAACTTGAAGATGTGTGGACTTCAGCTCCCAGAATTCCCCAGCCAGCCATGCTGGCTGGG